TGTGTGTGTGAGTGTGTGTGTGTGTGTGAGTGTGTGTGAGAGTGTGTGTGTGAGAGTGTGTGTGTGTGTGTGTGTGTGTGTGAGAGTGTGTGCGTGTGTGTGTGTGTGTGTGTGTGTGAGTGCATGCGTGTGCTTGAGTCAATACGTTGTGAAAAATGCTTTCTGTAATAGGCACATCCTTTAGATACTTTCACATCTTGGTAATGAGGGTACAGGTGAAGACTAGTGATTCAACTTAGACCCACATTTAGCACTCGAGGTACTTAAAGCTAAACATCCACACCTTGTCAAACAGGTCTTTATTTGATCAGTTGTGCTTTTCATCAAGTTGCTACTGTACGGATTTGTGTTTCTGTTCAGTCAACTAACTCTAAATGTTTGCTCTGTTGTCTATCAGAGGACATTTTCCCGTGCAAAGACTGTGGAATCTGGTACCGCAGTGAGAGGAACCTACAGGCCCACCTCATGTACTACTGTGCCAGCCGTCAAAAGCAGCCGGCAGCAGCCTCCTCCCCGCCACAAGACAAACCCAAGGAGTTCTACCCCAATGAACGCATCTGCCCCTTTCCACAGTGCAACAAGAGCTGCCCCAGCGCCAGCTCACTGGAGATCCACATGCGCACACACAGTGGTGAGAGCAAGACTTGCTTTATATGTATGCCACTGGCATACAGGGTCAGAACAATGAGGTCTAACTTGTTGATACGTGACCAGTGTGCATTAATCACTGTGTGCCCCTCTAACTTATTGTCCCTCTCGGTCCTTCCACAGGTGAACGTCCATTTGTCTGTCTCATCTGTCTGTCAGCCTTCACCACTAAAGCGAACTGTGAGCGCCACCTTAAAGTCCACACAGACACACTGAATGGAGTGTGTCACGGCTGTGGCTTCGTCTCCACCACAAGAGACATCCTCTACAGCCATCTGGTCACCAGCCACATGGTGTGCCAGCCTGGATCTCGCAGTGAAGTCTATTCCCCAGGGCCAGGCCTTCCCAAGCTGCCCCTGTCCACTGGTAAGTCATACCATCATTGTGACAGCTGAGTTTGTGGATAAACCTTAATCTGAACCAGACTCATTATTTTGGAATTTTGCCATTTTAAATTCATTCAAATGTAAGCTACTGGTATTGTTTGCTAATCTTGACTCTCTTCTTCAGGTCTCAGTCCAGGAGACTCTGGTGTGGTGTTGAAGTGTCAAGTGTGTGGCCACAACTCTGACTCCCCTGCCCAGCTTCAGCATCATGTGCGAACCCACCTAGAGGTTAGGGTCCCAGCCGAAAGGAGCCCCACTCCCCGCCAAAGTACCCCATCATCAGTTGACCACCCTCAGCTGTCTCCCCAGGAGAGGGAGCCCCTTGCCTGTGTCCCCACGCCAGACTCATCTAGCCCTGGTGCAAACGGTGGCTCGGCCACGCCTCGAGACTACAGTCCTCAGGATGCTCCAACCACTGACCTAAAGATCAAAGAGGAGCCTCATTCAGACTCAGAGACAGAAGAACAGCAAATGGAGATTATGGAGGATGGAGAGAAAGAGGAGCTTGGTGGAGAGGAGGGACATCAAGGAGTAAGAATCAAGACAAAGGAGAAGCAAATCACTACATCCTCCTGCCCGACATCAACCTCTCCGAAGAGTCCAGCCACCGCAACTGTGAAGGCAGAACCAACTAGTCCCACCCCTGGTTCTAGCCCTGCGGATGTGGGAGGCACAGGGTCAGTTCTTCCTGGAGGAGCAATGTTCTTGCCTCAGTATATGTTTAATCCTGAGGCAGCCATTTTGCCTCAGGCCTCAGAAATACTGGCTAAAATGTCAGAGATGGTCCACAGCCGACTGAAACAGGGCCAGGCAGTTCCTCAGAACAACCCGGCGGCCTTCTTCCCCTCTGGACCAACTACACCTACAGCCGAAGCCACTCCCTCTCACAAAGGAGCCACCTGCTTTGAGTGTGATATCACATTCAACAACATCAACAACTTCTATGCACATAAGAGGCTGTACTGCTCCAGTAGGCACCACGGAGAAGGTGCAGCCTCAGCTTCAGGCCCTGGATCGACAAGGGAAGCAGCCCCAGCCACGTTGCCTTCCAGTGGGGCACATGGCTCGTCCATATCTCCTCAGGGTGGAGCAGCAAGTAGAGCAGCTTCTGCTTCTCCTACTGACTCTGACCCTCTTGCAGGAAGTGGAGCAACAGAACCCAAGAGGGTGGTGGAAATAAAGACAGAAACCCCTAGAGAGGGAATATCATCCTCTTCTGAAGGGGAAGGTGGAGGTGGAAGTGGAGGAGCAGGGGGTGGAGGAGGAAGAGCAAGCGAAGGCAGCCAGAGTCCTGCTAGTGGTTCCGCGGAGGACCAGGAAGAAGATCCCAATAGAACCTTCTGCCAGGCCTGCAACATCCGCTTTAGTCGTCATGAAAACTACACTGTACACAAACGCTTCTACTGCGCTTCACGCCATGACCCATCGAACCACCGATCCGTACACATGGCCAAGGCAACCACAACAGCAGCCTTCCTTCCCCAGCCCATCCGCAAACGCAAGAGGAAGAAGATGTACGAGATTCATATGGCCAGAACTGAAGCCTTAGCCAACGCTGCTGCTGCTGCCGCCGCTGCCACTGCTGCTGCCTCTGCACCATCTCCCTCTGTTCTGGGCTTGGCAGTGAAGCAAGAGGTTTCTCCCAGCGGGGCAGGCAGCTCCAGCCCTGAAGGAGATGGCCCGATTGACCTCAGCAAGAGGCCCCGTCTGAGAGAGGTACCGCGTCATAGCAGTAGCAGTATTCTCCCTGCCCTGCCCCTTACAGACTACCACAAGTGCACCGCCTGCAGTATCAGCTTCAACAGCATTGAGAACTACCTGGCTCATAAAACCTACTATTGCCCTGCTACCACCCTCCAGCCCCACACCTTGGAGCAGCTTCACAGGCTCAAGAGTTCGGCCTCTACCTCTCCCAAAAGCAGGCCTCAGCAGGAGCGCCCAGATCATCTGCACCCTATGGAGGCTAAAGCTCTGCCTGCTGAGTGGGTTGCCCAGGCTCAAGGCACATCATCCAGTCCTCACCCCTCTGCCTTACCTGCCGCCGATGCCACATCTCCTCCCCATACAACCACCGCACTTGCAGCCACCCCAGGGGCTGGAGCCAAAGGCGCAGGCTCTAGTTCCTCTCAGGTGGTCTGCCCATACTGCCCTAACAGGCTCATTACCTGTGACCTGATGGAGCACTTCAAGACTACCCACGGCCTTGTTGTAACCATTCAGCCACCCCAGCCAGGCAGTGCAGTCAGCCGCAGCCCCAGCCTTAGTCCCAGGGATGGACCTGCTGCAACCACCTCCACCACCCCAACCAGCCAGCCCAGATTGGTCTCTCGAGTTCACAGAGACAGCATCAACGGGCAGGCAAGGAGCGGTACAACTTCTCCCGTCTCCCCACTGGTAAATGGCAGCCCTTCAGCTGGGGGTGGATCACCTTTGGCTGGCTCACCTCTGCCCATGTCTCCCCCAAGGGCTTCTTCTCTGACTTTGTCACCTGTGCCTGAGGTCCTGAGGGAGACTGTGGGTTCATCCCCAGACAAGGCTGTCCCGACCGTGATCTCCCATCCCGTCCCCACGCCCCAGCCTGCCCCCATCACCGGCCCCAAATCCACAGTGATCTCCCCCGTCCTGAACGGTAACTCCCGCTTCTGTCGGCTCTGCAACATCAAGTTCAGCAGCCTCTCCACATTCATAGCTCACAAGAAATACTACTGCTCTTCCCACAGTGCCGAACATGTCAAGTGAGCTCCGTATTTCTCTTCTTCCTCTGCCAGTCCTCCCACATCGGGGCCAAAATGGAGCTCAGCTGGCATGTCCATGAATGACGATAAATGACTGTTACTCACCTGGCAGGGCCTGATGTCCAACTGCTCCAGAGCAGAATTTGCAGGTGGTGTTACTAACATACATGAACTGATATTCTCCTGCGATGGGTCAAAGTCTGTAGCACACTAAGAGCTGAGACAGATGCTACCTGCATACACTGGTGTGCCCTCGTCCCCTAAATCACTCTCTGTCTTCGCCCCCCCAGTCACCAATTCAACATCTACCACTCCCAGGCCTCACATTATGTTGCATTATGGGATGTTAAAAACATTTCAGTCAACAGCCTGTTTTCCGTCTCTCTGTTGAACAGTGTCAGTAATTAGATTCTGACTGATGAGGCATCTCTGGCTGAGGACGATACAGCAATGGTGATGCTGGTTGTGATGGATCTCCAGTCTTTTCCTGAGCTCTTAATGTTCCAGACCTGAACAGAGGAATCGTTGTTCCTGTGTGGAACAGACGTGATCATTGTTAATGTTTTTAATATCTGTGCATAGTGTATGATGTCTGAAAAGAAGAATTCTATATGCTTTTGGTTTCAACACTGGCTCTTTCTGCTTACTAGAGAAGCTAAAGTCATTTAGTTGAAAAACAAATATGTGGTATCACAATGTTACTAATTACTGAAGGATAATATTTCAAAATGGACAATTCTGTTCTTTTCTTTCATACACACACATTTTTATTTTTTTCTTTAAAATGCAAGGGTTGAAAAAAATGTGAAATATTTATCTTTTAGTCCTCACTGATTTCATGTCAACAGAAAACTACCTAGTGTCTGAGAGTACTTGTATTTTTTATTTGTATATTTTTCATACTGTTGGATCTGGGTGTGTAGACGTGTAGATATGTAATATCTTCACTGGGATCACACTGACCCTTCTTATCACGTTAGCATTTGGTGTTCTGTTGATGCCGTCTTTAACCAGCGCTGTTTATTTTTAGCCGCTCTTGATGAGCAACACGATTAGATCAGAGCAGCTTCCTCACTCACACATCCTCACAAGAGAGAGTTGACCGGAGCGCTTCTCATACTGTTGTGTTCATACTTTGGTGATAATGATGTAGCCTCACACATGTTAGGGGATACAAAAACCAAACTTTGAATCCATATCTTTAGTTAGCCGCCTCCATACCATGCAAAGTATGCTCATTACGGACACACAGCTTTTGTTGACCTGCCATTTGATACGTATACTAAGGGATACACAAAACACAAAGAAATGCTTGGTTGTCTAATACGCATCTTAAAAGATGTTCTGTTTCTTTTAAATGATTGTGTTTCTGTCCGGGAATGAAGGCATAGCAGGGAACAGTCACATGGTATTACAGCGCCTCACACAGCACAGTAAGCACATATTCAGTAGCCACTCGTGTGTGTGAGAGAGAGACACTGTTCTGTTCCTCTCTCACTTTATTGCTCTCTCACTCATGCACACATCCTCGCTATGTCCCCGTGCTGCAGTAGCAGCTGCAATACAGTGTTAGTTAGAACTGTGAAAGGCTTTTTACTTTTCAAATATTGATGCAAACTTCTGAGGGTCATCTTAAGGTTTTTTGAGGGCCAGACATATTTTGCCAATAACCAATATAGCATCCAGACACTGAGGTTGTTACAGATTTTGTCTTTTTTCCCCAATTTCTAAAGAATAAGCATTTTCCAGAGGATTTGACTCGTTAATGTACAACAGACTCTAAGACACAATTGGACCTTTATGGTACACTAAAAATACAGAGTTGGGAAAATAGTATTGGGGGATAGCATTTTGCTGGTCAGCAGGGGAGCAAACAAACCAGCTGTTAGACATTTCTGCTCAAATACTAACGTCAGTCAAACTGTAAACCTACCAACACAGCCTGTTGGCTGCTATCGTCCTGCCTTCAGTGGTGAACATGCGCCTAATCAAAGGTGTCACTCTCTCGTCAGTGGTTGAGAGAAATATTGTTGTCTTTTTGGATCACCCATTAGGGACAACAGAACAAGCTGTCAAAAACATTTACATATTGTCACAGCAGAAAGTTGTTATGGTGAATGTGGCAATGTGAGCTCCTCATTAATCAACTGATCATCACCCATCTGTTCGTTCCCAAAACTGGAAAACAAATGTGAAAGTGTCGGACTTCTTTAACATCATTCAAAGTTCCTGGTTGGTGTTCTGCTCTGTGGTGGTTTGAAGCAGCACCGTACCAGACCCAACGTATCTCCATCGGTCCAAATTGAAAGAGAAAACGCAGATGAAAGTCACAGAGTCAGGTCAACTTGTCACCTATTGAGTAACTGAGTGCTGGAAAATCATCCTTGGAACTTAACCCCTTGTAATTGCACTGTGTTGTATAAAGATGTGCTGAATGTTTTAGTTTTAGGGACTTTTTTTTATTGTATTTATGTTAAACAGAACTTTTCCCCGTCCAACGTGCGTCACCTTGAAGGACCTTCTGAAAGAGTTCAACCTTCACCTGAAACCCTTTGTTTCCTCGCTGTAAACATGTTCTGTTAATGATTCCTCTGATGTCCATAATGGAGAAAATCACAATGAATGTCAAGACTTTTATTTCCATATTTTCATTTCAGTTCCATTACATTCTTGTCCAAACTATGCATGGGAAATAAAAAAGAGTTCTGAGCGACACTGATGGGGAATGTGACTGTTCTTCTTTCTAGCGGCTTCATTCTACGCACATGAACCTGAGTGGGAGTCCGTGACTTTAGTGCTCACTGTGTGCAGTCACTCATAAATCCCTTCCTTTGATAAGAAAGTTCCCAGTGCACTGTTTCTGCTCGACTTGAATGAAGTCGGAGTGAATCATCAGCTTTCCTTTCAAAATAAAGTGCTTGAGCAATAGCAGGAGGAAAGTGTGCCCAATCAGAGCTCAAGGCTGCTCCAATCAATGGCAAAGTGCACTTATAGAAACACTGGTACCTTTAGATAGACGCAATGAGTTGATGCATATTTTCATCTGACTTTCTCACCCTGTGTTTATCCTTCAATTATGGGATGTGAATTACCGTCTCCCTGTTGTATTCAGTTACTGTTACCTTGTGATCTGGCGCAGTTCAACACGTTACAAGTCTCATGTTAGCTTCAATGAAACACTTGACAAGAGATGCTAAAATAACCATAAACCACCAGAGCATTCCTGAGAATGTAGGCAGCTCTTCATCTCATTTTACCCAACTGAACATCACCTGGAATGCTTTACAGCCCCGAGAGAAGCACAGATTATGCACTAGCCTTTTTTATTAAAGCAAACTTCAAATGAGTTGCATGAACTTGAGAAACTGCTACAACATCTGAACTTAAGCCACCCATAGACTGATGTAACTATTGTTCCTTTTCCAAAAATTGTAAATGGATTTGTATATATTCTCTTCTTCCGACCGCTCAAAGCGTTCTTACACTACATGTCATCCACCCATACAGGCGTACTCTGCCCATCAGGACTGACTATTAATTCACAAGCCATCCATAAACCATAAGGAGCAACTTGGAGAGAAATGCCACATGGACATAGACTGGAGGAGGCGGGGATCGAACCGCCACTTAAAAGCATTGTTTGTTTGTTTGGTTAATCGAGACAATGCACATTAATTAGTGGAGATAATTAATAATAATAATAATAATAATAATAATAATTAATAGGAGATAAAGAGATAACAGATACAATCTGTATAATTCAGAATTATTTACGTTTGAAATAATGTTAGCCCCAAAAGATGAATATTAGTTCCCACAGAGTTGCATGATGGGAGAATTATGTTGAAACCACAGAAGTGCTGCATTCAGAGACAATGGGAGACAGAGATAGAGGATATTATTTTATGGTTGCAGTCTGAACAGATGAGCTTTCAGTCTGAGATAGAAGATGTCTAGAGTTCCTGCTGTCCGGGTGTCATTGGGGTTCATTCCACTATTGTGGAGCCAAGACAGACTGAGGTGTAAGGTTTGGCTCTGTCTTGAATCGGGCAGCCACCACGAGCCGGTGTATTGTGGGTAAAGTTAAGACCACCCGGGCTTCTGAGAACTGCAGTTAGTAGGCTGAAATAAAGTAAGTCTCCAGGATCAGATGGTTGTATGCGGCAGAATGGTACAAGGAATTTAAAAACGAGTTCCTGTTCTACTCCCCACACTGAACTGGGCTTTAAAACAGGCGCAAACGTCACCCGGCTGGAAAGAAGCAATGACTTCAGCTACACCGAAAGAAGGCAGGAAAAGATGGAATGAGGATCATTTAGACAAATATCGATTCTAAATATAGATTATGCCAATACATAATGATCAGACAGGGTTTATACAACAACGCCAAACACAAGATAATATACAAAGGACACTACACATTATGGATCATATACAAAAAAACAAGATCAAAGCAATAGTGATGAGCGTAGATGCTGAAAATGCATTTGACTCTGTTGACTGGACCTTTCTTTCTAGAGTTTGACACAATTATTCAAATTATTCAGGCATTATATGACAATCCCACCACCAGGATTAATATCAACGAATAGTTATCAAACAATTTCTTTAAATAAATTATATTTGGAGCCACTAGCTCAATACATCAGACAACATGAAGATATTAGAGGAATTACCATTAAAGGGACGGAGCACAAATTGTCCTGCTACGCAGATGACATTTTGATCTACCTGGGGCAACCGACGTACTCTTTATCTTAACTGATGCAGTCATTAGAACAGGATGATAAACTGTCAGGCTACAAGATTAACGTGAGTAAAACCCAGTTACTCTCATAGAACCATAGCCCACCAAGAGAAGCTGAACATAAATACCCCTTTGCATGGCAAACAACGTCCTTCAAATATCTCGGCATCAATATTACAAAAGATCTTACAAAACTTGCAGAATATAACTATTTGCCAACAATAATACAAAAGTAAGGAAGACATAGCAAGATGTAACTTAATCTCTTTCCTAAATTTCACTGTGAGGATTGAATCCATTAAAATTAATATACTGCCCAGAGTACTTTATCTATTTCAGACTCTATCAATAGAGATTAACCAAAACCAATTTAATGAATGGGACAAGATGTTATCTTGGTATATTTGGTCTGTCTCAAAACCTAACAACTACCTGAAGAAAAGGGGGATGGGGCCTACCTTCTTCTTGAGATTATTATTTTGCAGCACAGATGAGAGCAGTAATATGCTGGTGCAACCCATCATATAAGGCTCAATGGAAAACCATTATAAGAGAACATAAACTAGAAGGAAATATTGTGTGCATATGATTCTAACTTCACCCCAAATAAATTAGATACTAGGATATAATGAAAGGAGGCACACTGCTCAGTTTTGAGACTCTTAAAGAGAAACACTTACCAGAAAAATAAGACTTCTCTCGATACTTTATGTTACATTAAAAGTTATACTCCGCAGGAGCCTGGAGTCGTCTGCACATCATGTGTATTGGCTCTGCGTTAAGGATCAGCACATCTCAAATCAAAGGCTGCAGATTCAGCAGCATACTGTATCTCCTGTTGTCTTCAGATGTCTGTAGGGAATTTAAATAACTCAAATTTATTTATTGAAAAATGCAGGAGAACAAACCAAAGTATTAGACAAATGGTGACCTGATGATGACGCTGCAGGAAAGGTTAGGAGATCACCAAAAACACTATTATTGGGAACATGAATGTCTGCATGGCCATCCATCCAATAGACATTTCACTCAAAACCTCAAATGTAAACCTCATGGGGGCGCTGGAGGAAAAGTAAGAGGATCACCATCTTTCATAGAAACCCATCAAGAAGCTGTTGACATATTTCAGTCAGGACCAAAGTGGTGGACAGACATTGCTATCCCTCGTTGGGAACATGTGCTTGGCTTCGCCATGTGCTCTTGAGAAAAAGAGATCTGGGCCTGCCGATTCTGCATCAAGGCCCATCCTGATTTGGTTTGATAAGCACCAAACCCCCACCAGAAACAATTTCAAACCTAACTGCGAAACTCTGAGGTAGTTTGGTGGAGGGCTGCTTATTGGACGAGACCAGGGATTCCGAGGCGGGACTTCCGGTTTTACGGCTGGAAACGACCACCTTACAAAACCGCTTAGCGCCCCTGAAAACATTGCTTGTCCCTCTGACCCTGGTCGGACAAAGGAGACACGAACACAATGTTGCTGTTTTTAAAAGAAAATCCTATTTAAACAGTTTTACATTCGCTGGACAAATCTACTGGACTGTTTGTTTGTTTTGTTTGCATCTTGGAAGAGGAAGCGGACAATTTTCCTGCAGAAGTGAAGAAACAGATTCTGCAGAGAGAGAGAAGCACACTTCTCCTCTCCACCCAAGCCGCCTTTGTTCCAGCCGTAAGGAAAGAAAGATTCCCTTAACAAGCTGAAGAATTTCTCTGACGCACAGAGAGTTGTATCACTGCGCCGCACGGAGCCACGCCGCCTGAGTCCCGCCGCCTGAGTCCCGCTGTGGAACTCATAGAAGGACTACCTCTTTGACCATGAAATCACCTCATAGTAAGGCAAAGAGTCTGGGCAGAGTTAGGTTATTAGGGCCCGAGCAACCGACAACGTCGGGCCAGCGAAGGCCCTATTGAAATTCTATTGGTTATTATTATTTGCAGTAGTTTTATTCTCATTTTTAAGTTTGGGCACATTTTTGGAGTATTTGCCATACCCCAAAACTCACCAAATTTTTCAGACTTGTCAGGTCGGATGAAAATAGCCATCTCAAAAATGCATCTTTCTGTGTGAAAAAATGGCTCTCTAGCGCCCCCTACAAGTCGTACCGGCGACGCCCCTCGGCCAGTATGTCCGATTGACTTGAAATTCAACACACATGTCCAATTAAGCTAGGTCTACAAAAAAGCCTCTCAGACCCCTAAGCTCCGCCTACTTAGATTTTCCGCCATTTTGAATTTTGTGAAAAACACATTTTTGCAAACTCCTCCTACATGCTGGGTCCGATTGCTACCAAATCTGCTGTGGATCTTCATCATCAAAAGCTATCAAAACTTTTTGATATCTCTTTGCGTTTACAAGATATGGACCAATAAACTTCTTAGGGGCGTGGCTTGTAATTCAATACACATAACTTCTAAACTGTTTCTCCTAAAATCACCAAATTTGCCGCATATGTGCACATCGCACCCTGTAACATACCTTGAGATTTATTTTGCATTCAACCACTAGGGGGCGCTACAGTAAACCCGCGAAGTTGTGCTTTTTGCATTTTTCAGCCTTCGTACTTTAACGAACTCCTCCTACAGAATTTATGCGATCAACTTCAAATTTGGTCAGGATGCTCTTAAGACCTTTGTGATTAAAAGTTATCAAAATCGGGAGTTTTCATCGAAGAACCTTGACGTGGTGTGGCGGCCATTTTGCCTCATTGGTTATGAAAAAGGAAGTTGTTATAACTCCAAGGTTTATTATCCAATCTGCACAAAACGTATGATGCATAATACTACTTCAAGCCTGAACATACTTCAATTGAAAAAATTTCAATAACTCATAGCACCACCTACTGGCTAAAGGAAATGTCATATTTTATACTTTTATTTATTCCTCCTAGCCAGGTGACCTGATGAGTCTAAAATTTAGTAAAGATAGCCTTAAGACATTGATGATGCATCATCATGAATATTGTGCGTTTTCG